TTGCCCAATGCAATACATCGTCTGATCTGTTGACTGCTGCTTCCATGAATGTTGACAGTTGATCCAAGAAGAATGAAGTCCTTGACAAATTCAGTCTTTTCTCCATTGATAAGAATGTTGTTTATTGGTCCAGTGGTGAGGATTTTTGTTTTTCTGACTTTGAGATGCAACCCATACTGAAGGCTGTACTCTTTGATCATCATCAATAAATGTTTCAAGTCCTCTTCACTTTCAGCAAGCAAGGTTGTATCATCTGCATATCGCAGGTTGTTAATGAGTCTTCCTCCAATCCTGACACCATGTTTTACTTCATAGAACCCAGCTTCTCATATTATTTGCTCAGCATACAGGTTGAATAAGTATGGTGAAAGAATACAACCCTGTCTCACACCTTTCCCAATTTTAAAACATTCAGTGTTCCCATGTTCTGTTTGAACAACTGCTTCTTGGTCCAGGTACAGATTCCTCAGAAGTACAATTAAGTGTCCTGGAATACTCATACTTCTCAATGTTGTCTATAGCTTGTCATGATCCACACAATCAAAAGCCTTTTCATAGTCAATAAAACATAGGTAAACATCTTTCTGATATTCTCTGCTTTCAGCCAAGATCCATCAGACATCAGCAATGATATCTCTCATTCCCACTTTGTCAAACCTAAATATATTTGTGTGTATATTCCCACACCCAGCTGTATGTCTATCCATAAATCTATCTACATGTACATTTATTGTTATTGCGGGATTTATATAAAGCAGTACTTGTCTCTGTTGCCTTTAACTGTTGCCCTCCCACCATGTCTTCGTCTGCCTCCATCATTTTTGGCGCACGCTCCTTTTTATTGTATATATTGTCTTCCCCTTCACCCAAGTTAACATGTGTCTAGTCTCTAGCCAATGACTGGCCCTCTGTTACTCTCCCGACTTTTCTCCCTTTGCAACCATCAAAGAAAGTCTCTTTTAGTGTGAAAATCTTTTCTTGACATTTGACAATACAGTCTCAAATATTTGTCCTTTTGGGATTGAGTAATTTCATTCAGCATAATGTCTACCATGTTCATCCACGTTATGAGGCATTTGGCAGATTCATTGTTATTCTTTAGCCTTGCATAGCACTCCATTGTGTGTACATACCAAAGTTTGTTTATCCATTCTTCCATTGAGGGACAATTAGGTTGTGTTTATCTTTTTGCTATTATGAATAGTGTTGTAATAAATATTGTTGTTGTTGTTGTTGTTAAGTGCTGTTGAGTTGGTTCTCATCCATAGCAACCCTGTATAGAGTTTCTGAGGAGCAGCTGGTGAGCTTGAACCACTAACCTTGCAGTTCAAACTGCCTTTCAGTCTAGTGCATTAACCCACAGTGCCACACCATGACTCCATGATAAACATAGGTTGCATAGGTCTATTCATGACATAGCACTTATTCCTATAAGATATATACCAGTAGAGTGGCTGCAGGGTCATATAGAGTTTCTATTTCCAACTTTTTGAGGAAGCAACATACTATTTTCTATAGTGGTTGTACCATTTTACGGTTTCATCAGTGTAGGAGGATTCCAGTCTCTCCACAAACTCACCAGCATTTGTTGTTTTATTTATTCCTGGACTTTGCTATTAATGCTAATGTGAGATGATATCTCATTTTTGTCTTTATTTGCAACTCTCTAGTGTCTAATGATAGTGAGTATTTTCATATTTCTGTTGTCTGCCTAAATGTCATCTTTAGTGAAGTGTATGTTCATTTCCTCCACCTATTTTTAAATAGGATTATTTTCCTTTTTCTTGTATAGGTGATGAAGTTTTTTGATATAAATTTTTAAGATTAATACATTGTCTGATATGGGACTAATCCCTAAAATTTATAAAAATTTTTCAATCCATGGTTTTTCTTTTTACTCTTTTGGTAAAATCTTTTAATGTGCATAAATGTTTAAGGTGATCCCAATCATCTAGTTTAGGTCGAGAACAGTACTTAGAGGAGAGATTTGCAAAGTGAGACTTTAGATGCAGGCAGATCTTGTAGTTTTGTTAAGGACTTTGGCTTTTTATCTTAAGAATAATGTCAATCCATTGATAAGATTTTGGGAAAATGTATGGTATGTTAATATTGTCATTGTTGTTCTTTGTTTTGGTGGCTGGGGGGGGGGGATTGTTTCTTAGTTTTTTCATAATTTGAAAAGATTACTCTGGTTGCATGGTAGAGAAAGGAATGGTTGGAGCAATGGCTACAGTGATGACAGTCAATCCTTCATTATTAGTAGAACTCAATGTCAGGGATTCTAAAAGCTAAAATCCCAACTAATGCAAATATCTTGATGTTTTACTCTCCTAGCAAAAATCTATGATTTGTACACAAATTTACCCCTATGGAAGTACTGTTAGCCTATTATAGAACACTATGAATATCATTTTTAAAATTTATTAGATGATGTCCATAATACCCAACTTTCTTCCCCTTCTGTCAATCAAAGTGTTTCTTCATCACTACCTGAGCATCATCCATACTTTCCTACCCTATTTTCCACTGGAAAATTCTTAAAGAGATTCTCTTGTTAAACTCTTCATTTGAAGACTATATGTAATTTTAATACATGCAAACACTGTTATAAAGTGGTCCCCGCTGCTGGCTTATCATTACTCTTCCTGAAATATATATCTTATAAACAGTAAAATCTATCTTTAAAGGTGAGTATGTGTTTTTTGCCCCATATTCATGGAGATAAAATAAGACATCTTAGTCATTTAAGGCAAGGGAGACTAAATAGTGACAGTGGAGAGAGAAAAGAACATTCAAAGAAAAGAATATTCAGAAAATATTTAGAAAGTAAAATTAAAATGGCTTGATCCTTGATCAAATTTCATAGTACAAGAAAAAAAAGTGTTTTAAAGTTTAAACCCATATTTATGGCTTGCATAACTGAATGGATAGTGGTGCTAGTGGCTAAGTTAGAGAACATTTATAAAAGATAAGAGCTAGCCATGCTAAAAAATGGACTAAATGCATTCCAAAACCTTAAGGGAACACATACAAAGCAGTCCACAACATTAAAAATACTATGGCATACGCGAAAGAATAGAAAGCCCACTGTGACTGAGTAGATAGAATCACCCAAAGTAAAGAGCTGAGTTCAAGGAGCTAAATTTAGACCAGATAATATATGGTTTTATTAACCCTCATGAATAGATAAAATTTTATTCTACAATAACATTTTAGGAGTTTTAAACATGAAATTTGTGATTTTATTTAAATTTTATGAACATAGTTTTACAGTCTTTAATTAAAGCAGTAAAATAACTGAAATAGACAAATTAAATGAGTGTCATGTAATGCAAGCAAAAGATGATAGTGATCTTAAGTAAAAGTGGCAGAGGATATGATAGAAGTCCAAGGAACCAAGGTATATTTTGAAGGTTCAATTAATAGGTTATGCTAAGGTCTATATGAGGGGGTAGGAAGAGTGGTTGAGAGAAAAGAAAAATATCAAAAACATTCCTTGGTCTGCAAGTAAATGATGACATGTAGGAAAAAACAAAGTTTTGTATAAGAAAGAAACTTCTAATATGTTAACTTTGAGTTGTCTGTGAAACATCAGAGTGAAGCTGTCAAACATTTGCTGGAAATGTTAAGGTTGTAAGACCAAGAAAATGTCTGCATTGTAGTTACCCATCTCCATGTAATTGTTGTTAATAAGTGCCCTCAAGTCATTTTTGATTCATACAACCCTGTATGTGATCTCTGAGGAGCAGCTGGTGTGTTTGAAATGCCAACCTTGTGGTTCAAAGTTCAGCATTGATGCTACAGCACCATGCCAGGAGTCTAGGAGGGATTTTAAAGAAATGAGGCTATACCTGGAAAAATATTCTAGGGACTAAGGGTTTTCAGTTGCAAGAGTCTAGTACATGTAAACTGAAGGGAATAATCTGGCAAGAAGGGAAAAATTACCAAGGCAGGAAAAAGGCAGTGATCTAAGAACAAAATCCTCAGAAAGACTGAAAAAAAAAAAAAGGTATAATTAATACAAGTGAAGAGATGACCTTTAATGGAATGGGTGCATTTTGTGCATTTTAATAGGAGGAAGAATAAAATGATAGGGAAGAACAAGATGATAGATAGATTTGTAGATGGAAAAGAGAGTTTCTGAAGATAGCCTGCATTTTTCATTTTAGCATGAGTAAAACAACTGAGAGTTATCAGAAAACTTAGGAGAAAGCTTAACTAACTCCACAATTAAAGCCAGAATGAAGAAGAATAAGTAGCTACATGATTAGGGAGGATTCTTGGTGTGGAGCTGTGGGATAAGCATTGGACTGTGAACCACAAAGTTGAAGGTTCAAACCCACCAGCTGGTCCGTGGAAACCATGTATAGGGTTGCTATGATTCAGAACCAACTCCACAGCACTTAACACCAGTGAGTAAGGTGTATGTGCTGCAATGAAAGCACTAAATAAGCATCTATATTAGCAGTTAAGAGAAGGAACAAAAAACACTACAATAGTATTAAGTCAAGCCATTATAATAGAAAAGAGTCTAAAGAAGACAAGATTTCTGAGAGACAAATATATTTTAAAATTGAGATTCTATAATTAGGTTTCTTTTTATTTTTTAACTTTGCTGACTACAAAAGTGCTTTCATATTGTCAAATGCTATGACTTTTCATGGGGATCATCATAATAATAAACTTGTTGGACACATTCTACAGAAGAATTACAGACAGGTGTGCATTAAAGATACAGGTCTGGGCAAATAGTATTAATGACAATAAACATATTTGTTAAGATGCCTTTCTGAGTGCTTAGAAATTTAACTGACCATTAGGTCAATGAGTCTTCCAACTCATAACAAACTGTTATTTGAAGTTACCTTATTATTATAAAATTTTAGGTGACTGGATATGCTTTTCTGAGTTTTTCAAGTTGATTATTTACTATATCTTTAACTAAAATGGAAATAATGAATTAGGAGAATTAAGTCTGTAGATTAAAAGACATACACAGGTATTCTTTTCAGTAGATATATTTAATTTGAGCTTTATAGTTTAGATTCAGCATGAATTGCAATAAATGGATCCTCAGCTGAGTTACTAATGGAAAAATAAGCATTCCCATCTCCAGAAACATGAATTTTAATTCCTGTGCAATTGTCACCAACTTTATCTCCAGAGATGACATCACAATATGTGCCAGCAGGAAGACCGGTTTGCAAAGTTAAAGATAATGGCCTGTAAAATAAAATTTAAGATATAAATTGAATTCATCACTATTAAATGCAAGAACACAGACTACCTTTACAACAAAGAAACAGCTGAAGTTTGTACCAGACTACTCTAAGGAATGAAAGTACCAGTGAGAAAAAAAAAAATCCATCAGAAATACTGCTCTAGTAGATGTAAATAGATTTATCAGGACAAAAAAAAAAAAATGTATAACTGATCAGGACAGAAAAAAATTGTATTAATTCATTAGTATAGTGAGTTATTACCATAAGATTAAGATTGAAGAGTATTAGGGAAATTTTCAGGGAGTTGCAACATTTAAGTAAAATTATTGTTTGGTAAACAAGAATACTTTAAATTTGTCCTCATCTAAACTTAAAAAGCAGTCCTGTTGTGGCACTGTGGGTTAATGCACCGGACTGCAAAATCAGTTTAAACTACATGGTCGACGGTTCAAGCTCACCAGCTGCTCCTTGGAAACCCTATACAGAGTCGCTATGGGTCGGAACCACCTCAATTGCACATAACAACAGCAACAAACTTAGAAAGGAGACCTGGTGTTGCGCTGTATATGAGTCAGAAGCAACTTCATGGCACTTAGCATCGACAACAACAATAAACAATTAAATACTGATTCCTCCCAAGAATTTCGATTTGATTATTTTTTCAGAAATCTCTTCTTTTCTTTTCTTTTTTAGCCAGAATGTTCTTTAGAGTCCAGGATAGCAAAACTTTTTCTTTCTTACTTCAAACATGTTCTCAGAAGGGCCCAGTCCCTGGAAAAAGGCATCACGTTTGGTAGAGTAGAGGGTAAAAGAGATGGATTAACACAATGACTGTGAGACTGACACAGGCCCAGGCTGTGCTTCATTCTGTTGTTCACATTGAGTCACATTGAGCCCAACGGTACCTAGCAACAACATTAATGACTTTGGGTATTTTGTGTAGGATGCATGTGTGTGCATATGCATGTGCACTGTATGCCCATGTATAATGTAAGGGTACACAAAATGAAGTTAACTAATAATAGAAAGTCCTTATAAATAGGACACCAAGAGAATAAGGGTCTTCATCACACTTAAGATTCTTTTTTCTGATTGCTAATTTTCTTAATCTACTGATTGAAAGGATTTTTCAGGATCCAGAAAAGAAAGGAGGAAGAGAAAAAATCTAAACCAAGAAAATAGTTATTGCTGTTGTTAAGCTGTTCAGTTGGTTCTGACTCAGGGTGACCCCTGTATAGCTTTCCAGGAGAAGTTGGTGAACTCGAACTGCCCACCTTACAGTTAGCAGTCCAGTGCTTATTCCACACCAGGAATCTAAGAACATAATAGTATAAACTATTGTTCTAAATTTTTATCTACTTACCAATCATCATTGTTAAAAACAATGAATCCTCTGTTTCCCCTTCCAAAAGCCACTTGGTTGTTTCCATTATCCCACCAGTTTGAAAAAGGCTGGCCATCAACTACATTACGGAAAATAACCATGTTCCTTAAAAATAAACAAATAAATAAATAAATAAATAAATAAATAAATAAATAAATAAATAAAATAATGAATAATTGTAAATAAAGATGAACAAAGTCCATTGTAGGCAATAGCTCTTAATAAATATCCCCACCTTATTTGACGCCATCGGTGTTCACAGACCCAGTCGTTGCCACAAGTAGTATCTGGATTAATTGTAACTCTTTTAATTACTCCATCACTATTTGGTGGCCCAATCCAATCATTAATGTCCTTAATATGTGAAGAAGAAAAGAAGCTCAGATTCTGAACACTATATACAGTTGCCTCTTGCTTTTCAGTACACCAAATCTAATCTTTCCTGATTTTTTTTTTTTTTTTTTTGTCTATGCAGTGCCTATATTTACAATCTAATTCCTTGAGTGTTTTTGCAGCCTTTTACCAAGTCCTCTTTCCAGTCTTGTATTCTCCAGGATTGTACATCAAATAGGGATAAGATTTTTCTATCCTTTCATTTTCTTTCCAAGAAATTGCAATGGCTTATCAGCATCACTATAAGCAATACTATGCCACTGAAAATGCAAAAACTTTAGTGCCAGAAAACCAGGATTAAAAGATAGGCACTATTATAAATGAAAAACGTTAACCAATATGCCTGATTTTTCTGAGCTTAAGTTTCTTCATCTGTAAATGGATATATTATTGATTGCTATAGCAAATGATATAACTTATTATAAAAAGTACTTTGAATTTGATAATCGACAAACAAATATTAGCTTTATTCTTCCTTTTGAAAAAAAGTTCTAATTATTCCACCATAATTTTATTTACTAAATTAACCATGTTTTAAATGTTACCTTTTTCTGATTCAGACTTTTAAAGAAAATTGCAGGGGGCCAAAAAACACAAAAAAGTCTAGGTGGGTCTTTAGTGTGGAAATCATATCATAATATGAATACTAGTTAAAACTAAGTATTATTATTAGCAGGGAGAAGTCTTGGAAACTTAAATTCCAACAAATATTTGAAGGAAAGTTATGAAGTAAAAAAGAAACAAGTGCTGTCTATGACTCCTAAGGTCATAAATAATACCTTATTTTATGAAGTTGATTCAATATAAAGATATGCCTTCTAAATATCGAAGCTATACAAAGTAGTGATCTTCTCAAATAGAAAAGAATCTAGAAGAAATTAATAAAAAATCTTCCTGGTTTGTAATGAAGAAGCTTTTCTGCTTGAAGTACAAAATTGTTCAATGATGCTACTTCTGAAAATTTCAGTTTAAAATTAAAATCTTGCCTCAGAATTCCAAATGCCATTAAAATCTTATATATCAATTCCTTTTTAAAAACACTAGTCAGATTCATGTCTTTACCATACCCCAAGTATTTTTTCTAATTCTTATATTTCCTGCAATGTTCTGCAAATTTCTCTTAATATATAAGTATACAACTCCCTTTATTATACAACAAACTTTCCATATTTAACTTCGGCCTCCACTGCTGTCTTTGCTTTGCACTACAAAGAACTTTTCAAAAAATATTCAGCAAATATTCTTGTTGCTTTTACTATTGGCAGGCACAAGTCTAAGTTCTTTACAAATGTTAACTTGCATAACTCTCGTATCTACCCTATGAAATACATACCTATGAAAAAGTATATGTTTATTTGGTGTATTTTCTCTTATTTTTAAGAATTTGGGGAAGAGGAGATATAGATGTCATAATTCTGAAATAGCTTACATATGCTTTGATAACAGAAACCATGAATTTTTATTCTTTTATATCCACAATATCCACTATATTGCTTAAATCAGAGTCTTGAATCAAGTTTATACTTAATAAGTATTCCATGTACTGTGAGCAAGTACAAATTGTTAGACTTTTGCTTATGGATGCAGTTGCTCAAAAATCCAGTATAATGAAAAGATTCTTCACATCAAAGAATCAACTTTTTTTGTACTGGGTTGACAGGATGAGAAATTTAGACATTTGCTATCAAAAATGGTGGGGGGGGGGCGCTATAAAGGCATGAAGTGTTTGGTTTACAAGCTTCTGTAAGTGTACTTAGTTTCAGAATGAATAGGGTAAGGTAGAATTCCCAATGAATAGTTTCCCTCTTTTCCATATGATTCTGGTGAAAGGAATGGGGGATGGTGATGGTGATAGGATTTTATGACTCATACGTGAGTAATTGTTAGCAGGATTAATTGTGATTGTCACAACTGTAATTGTAGAAGATGTGTAAGTAGTTAATTTTTCATTTCAGGAACAGACAATCCTAGGACCATCAAAAAGGAAGAGCATGAGTGGAGCATGAGACTGGCAACAGAAGAGACGGTGGCAGAGGCAGTGGCATGAAGAGACAGAGCAGTTGCAGGCTCTAGGCCCGTGGACTAAGTAAGACTTTGTGCCTGCGGGCGGGAGGCTGACTTTCAGAATATGCCCTTTGGACATTTAAATGATTGTATATTTTTTGTTTTGTATGTGTACATCAAATATGTTTGCCTTGTTCATTTGTGAAATATAAGATGTAAATGGGGAGCATGGAAGGGACTGTAACCAAGGCAATGTAACAATACACGATAGGATGAATGTACAGCTAATGTTCTCCCATGTAAACTATCACATAATTCAATAAAACATTAAAAAAAAAAAAAAAGATGTAAATGGGGAGCCACAGGGAAGACCTAACCTAATTGTTGTTCCAGGAAAGGGATTGTAATCCTTGAGATGAAACAAAGTGTATAAATTGTTGATGTAAAGCTGATGATCTTGTCTGTAAATCTTCACTCAATTAATAATAAAAAGTTAAAAATAAATAAACAAATATCTCATGGTGTGTAGGATAAGCACTGGTCTGCAAACCACAAGGTCTGCAGTTCAAACCCACCATGGAAACTCTGTACAGGGTCTCTATGGGTTAGAATCGACACAACAGCACGTAACAACAACAACATAAATAAGTAAGTAGTGAATGTAATAGCATCATGTTAAACAAAAAATTCCTTCCCTTTCTCGAAAAGAAGGTATTTTGGATAACTCAAAAACTTACTCTTCCATTCTCAAAATATCTTGGCCAACGGAAGCTTGACATTACTCGAGTAACTCCATAGGGATGAGCAAGCATAAATCCAACTCCCATTTTATACAGTCTGAAAATTACAAAATGATGTTATCATAGAAGAGGATTATAATTTTTAATTTTTCATTAAAAGATAGACAAAGAGTGGGAATTTTTGTTCCTACCTAGGGTCCCAGAATGTAAGAATAGATGCTCCTCCAGCTCCATGTCCTCGCTGATTGTCATGATTATCCACAAAGACAAGTGCTCTGTCAGAAGGCATGAAACCCCAGCCTTCTCCCCAGTTCCTATTTTGATAAAAAAAATAACAGAATAACTGTGTATCTCTCTTTTGCATAGCCATCCTCACATTAAATTCTCTCTCCAATTAAATAGCTATTCTGTTGTTAGGGTTGTATGTTATACATAAACTACATAGGTACATATATAAGGATTATCTTCAAATGCATTTATATGTATGTATGGGTTTGTTGTATTCCACATTAAAAATATAAGATTTTGTTACAGAAATGTTCTTTTTAGGAATTCAATATATTGTAGTTTAGATGGATTTAAAAGGATCAACATCCATACCACATTATAAAGAATGGAAAACTAAGTTAAAATAAGGTTTCAATACTGTATTCTTGTATACATTTTAATATTTCAGATTAATTGATGTATATAAAAATGTTATAGCATGGCCCTCCTTAAGATGGCAAGATCATTTTAATAATAACTTGACCATACTAGAGTACATAGAAATATTAGCCAAGCCTCATCTAATCATACCATATGCACTAACCCACTGCCATTGAATCTATTCATAGCAACCCTGTATCTCTAGGTTATCTTTTGAGTTTCTAGACATACCTTTTTGTGATTAATTAGCACAATAGCAATGGTCCAATGGAGTTTGGGGATTTATAATACTTACTACCATGTTTGAATCCTAGACACTTGTCTAAATTAAACAAAGGTTCTAAGAAGATAACTCATACTGAGAAAATACATCTAATAGTCCTGTGAAATAATTCAAATAAAAATCATGTTATATGTACTTTAAGTAAGCCATCTTCTCTCCATTCCACTTGCGCAGAACTGTGCCCAGTTTTGCACCATACTTGAATTCTGTCACACGACCATTTCCAAAGTATTCACTGCTTTTAATTGGCTCTCCACCCAAGTCAATTACCTAGTAGAAATATAGAAAACAGAATATTATTTTTCATAAGAACTGCAAAGCATTCGATCCAGCAAATTAACACATAGGAAATAGTTTCAAGTACTTAGATTTATGAAATGTTCAAAATAGTTTTCCTTATTTCAAAATGTTTATTTATTAACTAGAGTGTATGCTACAGTACTTAAAAAAAAAAAAAAAAAATCTATGAAAACAAGTTGGGCCTATTGTCATAACCAACTCAACAGCACTTAACAGCAACATCAACATTATCTGTCTAGCAGCATTTCCAAGTGCTTGATAAATATTAACTCATTTAATTCTGCAAAGAAAACTAAGACATAACAATTATCATTAGCTCCTTTCGTCATATGAAAAATTGTTTCACAGAAAGGTTAATCAATTTGCCCAAATGCTTCAGGCTCTGATAGCTTAGCTCCAGATAACAACTATATTATTCTCAACCTTCCATATGACCTCTGGAGAAATGGTAAATTAAACAGTAAAATTTTCAGCATAAATAAATTACCTGCACTTTCAAATAACTTATGATAAAGAATTAGCTATACTGTCTTTTAATAAAAGGAGGTAAAAAAATTAAAAATTTAAATCTCTGTTTATATAAATGACTTAGCCACTAGCCTACACACATATTTAATAAAATCTGCCATTTATTTTCTAATGAAATAAATTATTTTATATGCACATATATGTATTGATGTACCTCCTGATAAACGAAAGGTTTACTTCCTTCAGGGAACCAGCTTGTGTTTAGATTATGCAATTTATCCAAAATTGCCTTCATGTCTCCAGGCCACATGTGCTTGGAAGCATCAATTCTGAATCCTGCCACACCAATGTCAATGAGGTGGTTCAGATATTCAGCAACCTTGGAACGAACATAGTCTTTTTCCAGTGCAAGATCAAGAAGACCAACCAGACGACAGTCTCTGACCTGTTAATGTAAAAACGTTGTGATTGATACATTTAAAAAATCACTTTTTATCTGATATGCCATCATTTATTCATCAAACCACAAGGTCAGTGGTTCAAACCAAACAACAGGTCCTCAGAAACTCTGTGCAGGGTCATTTAAGAACTACACATATTTCTGAAGTCTTGGTGTGGTGCTGTAGGATAAATGCAGCACCTCAAGGTTGGTTTGAACTGCAAGGTTGGTGATGCAAATTCACCAGTCACTCCTTGGAAACCCTGTACTGATTCACTATGGGTTGGAACTGACTCAATGGTACTTAACAAACAACAACACAGATATTTCTAGAGTGTCTTCTTTGCATTAGGCATGGAAGCATTGGCCTCCTAGTATAGACATAACTTTGAATTGTTGTGTACCATATAAATGAAGAATGTTGCAAACAAGTGGATCAGCTTTTTAATTGGCTGGAATTATTCTTAGTTCTCTGAATTTCCTTCTTGTTTTCTTTCTTTTCTAAGTCTGTTAGACCTGGAATCTGTCTGTTCTCCTAGAAAATCTAAATCTATCTAAAACAAAACTTAATAAACTATAGGTATTTGGTTAAGAACACTTAGTTATGTCTTGGAGTCCTGGAGTGGCGTTACAGGATAAGCACAAGAATGCTAACCTCAAGGTCAGCAGGTAAAACCCCAAAACGCTCCTCAGAAACCCTATACAGGATTATTATGAGTCAGAACTGACTCAACAGCACTTAAGTACAACAAGTTATACCTTGTCTTGGAAACCTGCCCAATCGACTCAATGGCACTTAACAACAAGTCATGACTTAAAGTGCAGTCAGAATGTCCCTTAGAAGTGAGATTGGCAAGACTTTGTCTCTTGTACTTTGGACATATTATCAGGAAGGACCAGTCCCTGAAGAAGAGCATCATGCTTGGAAAAATGGAGGGTCAGTGAAAAAGAGGAAAATTCCAACAAGATGGATTGGCAAAGTGGCAACAACAATGGGCTCAAACATAACAATTGAGAGGATGGTGCAGGACCAGGTAATGTTTTGTTCTGTTGTGCAGAAGGTCACTATGAGTTGGAACCAACTTGGTACCTAAAAACAACGGTTATGCATGCAGAATCTGTTCATAATCCAAGAGGCAGTCATTCAAAGAGAACAAAGGGATACAGGTGTTTAAAAGTAGGAAACAGGTGTTTCAGGATTGCATCTTTTCACCATCCTTTTTCAGTCTGTATGCTGAGCAAATTTCAGTTGTGGTGTAGGAGAATATTGAAAGTACCATGGACTGCCAGAAGACAAACAAGTCTGTTAGAAGAGGTACAGGCAGAATGTTACTTAGAAGCAAGACTTCTCTCATACTTTGGACATATTAATAGGAATGGGTTAAAAGTAGGAAAAAGGTGTTACAGGGTTGTATGTGTTCACCATACTTATTCAATCTGTATGCTGAGCCGATAATTCAAGACACTGTCTGACAAAAAGAGGAACACAGCATCAGGGTTAGAGGGTGACATTAAGAACATGCAATATGCAAGTGGCACAACCTTGATTGCTGAAGGTTAAAAGGACTTGAAGTACTTACTGAAGATCAAAGACAATAGCCTTTAATATGGATTACACCACAACGCAAAGGAAAACACAGTCTCACAGCCATAAAAATAAACAAAATAATAATGAATGGAGAAAAGAATGAAGTTGTCAGGAACTTAATTTTACTTAACTCCACAACCAATGCCCATAAGCAGCAATAAAGAAATCAAAGGATCTATTGCATTGGGCAAATCTGTGGCAAAAGATCTGTTAAGGATGTTAAAATGCAAAGATGCCACTTTGAGGACTAAGGTGCACCTGACCTTAGGCACCTATATGCATTCAAAAGGTGGAGACTAAATAAGGAAAAGACCAAAGAAAAGCTGGTGCTTTTGAATGGAATTAGTCAACAATAATGAATATATCATGGATGTTCAGAAGGAACTAATCAGCCTTGGAAGGTATAGCCAGAATGCTCCTTAGAAGCAAGACTTTTGCTCACGTACTTTGGACACGTTAGAAGGAGGGACCTGGAGTGCATGCTTGGTAAAGTACAAGGTTAGTGAAAAAGAGGCAGACCTTCAATGAGATGGCTGGAGAAAATGGCTGCAAAAATGAGCTCAAACCTGGCAACAAGACTGGCCCGTGTTTTGTTCGGTTGTTCATAGAGTTACTACGAGCTAGAACTGACTCTGGTACCTAACAACAATACGATAATTAAAGATATAGGCAATTCTTTATTCAAATTGCTTTTTTTTTTTTCCCCCCAGAAATTACCTGGTAAGGATCATTATAGTTCTCAATGTCTCCACTTCCAGTTCTACATTTACCATCATTAAAATCCCATCCAGAGAATGGAACTGATGGAAAATCCCTTTTTCCAGGGTTGAAGTAGGTTCCACAAGTACTGCTCGTTCCTGCACTCACACCATTTCCACACATGTGATTAATTACAGCATCCACATAAATACGGACCTGAAATGCAAAGTTCCCATTTCAGTTTGACTTAGAAAGAGGTAGAAATAAAACATTGCTGATTAAAATTTCCAGCATATAAATAAAATCCCAAAATGATTCTTTGTTGTTTTTTAATTTATGTTCCTTAGAGAGCAAAGGTCAAGTGTGAAAAGAATATAAACTGAAGACTTACATGTTTTCCAGCTGCTTTGGTAAATATTTACAAATATGATAAACTAAAAGCACCAGAAGCTTCCATAACTATGAAAAGATTTAATGAACTTTTTTGGGAAATTAGTATCAGTTGAGACGGGAAAGATTATGATATTTTGAAATTTCACTGGTCACCCTTAGAAAGAAGCAGCCAACCTCTTTTCTCTACTTAGCATTTGAAGAAGGAAAGGTAAACATTAGTCTTTCATATGTTCCTCAGCAAAAATAGAAAATAGTCATTTATCATTATATGGGGGAAAAGATTAATTAATTTTGGGTGGATACAAAAGTCAAGTAAAAGTGACAGTATATACAAGAAAGCTTCCAAAATTTCACGGAAAAATTCCATTAACTTTCAGCTTCATTGTTCAACTTTTTGGAATGTGCAATTTCTAATAGAAAAGTGTTGCCAAGAAATGTTTGTAATTGTAAGGATTAAAAGTTTTATTTTGCTCTGTGTGTACATTCAGCTTTAAATTTCAGCTTACATCTTCTTTAACAGATATATGGCACATATGAAAATATTTACAAATATGGAACATGATGTAATTATAAATGTTTGTTTATGGCTAAAACGTGAAGTGAACTTTTAAAGAGAATTAACTATGGGAAACTTTCTGCTTAAGTGGAACAAAGAGCAAGAAAGAGAAATTATTTTCCTAAATAATATTTTTTAAGAAAACTATAATTCACTTACACCAACATTGTTACATCTGGTCACCATATTTCTGAAGTCATCTTCATTTCCAGATCTCGTACATAACTTGTAGCTAATTGGTTGGTATCTTTCCCACCAAGGTCTTGAAGGATTATTAATTATAACATTTTCATTGGGTGGAGAGATCTATGAATAAAATAATCTTAATGAGAATGAAATTATGGCATAATTTATATCATTGCATGTGTTGAAATGAATAAATAGTCTAAAGCATCTGCAATTACATTTCTTTACAAACTTGAAAATATTAACAACGCATTGGAAATGTCTTGGTAAAGAAAGATCATATCAACACCAAAACATAAAGTTGCTAATAATACTGAAATTTTTTTTCTTTTTCAGAAAACTGTCTCATTCAGAGTACTTACGTGTGAAATAGAGTTGTCTCAACTTCACAGATTCAGTTTAAAGCCACATTTACTGTAAGCACTGTAAATTCTATAATGAATACAATAAACAATATTCACCTGAACTCCTCCAAATCCATTGGGAGCTAAGTATCGCTCACATTCAAGAGCAATATCATCCCAGCGCCACTCAAACAGATGGACAATAGATGTTCTTCCTGGTTTGGTATGTGGGGCATACTGAGCCCAGCAGAATCCGATGACTGAGAGTAATAGAAAGAACTTCATTTTGCTTTGAAGCCAGCAATGTTCTTTTCAGCAACTATTTATATTCCTGTAAGAAGTGTAGTTTACAAAGTAAATGTTAACATGAATAAATACTTAATAAATAAATAACATGAGTAGAAACTGTTGATTCATAATCTGTAAAGAATTATCAATAACAATATTAACAGGTGAAGAACAGCCATAAAATCTCCCAGGGAAACATTCTAAATGACCTTTCAGAACTTAATGTTTTTCCTATTGAGGGAATATTAGCTTTTTCAAGCATCTGGCATTGTATATATGCAAACAGTCTTCATTCATGTGTTATTTAATTAGGATTAGATCTTGTTTCTGAGGTCCTTCCTTAACAGAAGTTAATATTTTCACAGTGAAAATATTGCCTTAAATATTTATTTGAAGATATTTGTAATGCTTCAATGTAGTTTTTTACTTCCCAAAAAATTTTAGTGACTTACAATCTGCATTTAGACTTAAGTTATTTAGAAATTGAATGCCTATCAATTGGAAAAACAGAATACCCCCATCCTCCTTTCAACAAATGCAATGTTTAATGACTACAACAATAGGTTTTTCCTTCCACAAACAAATATCTTTTGAACCTGATAAAACACCAAAGAGAGTAATTTGCATGCCTTTCCTTTTCATGTAAACTAAATCTCTTTCCAAAGAGAATAATAGCACAAGTGGGCAAAGTGTAATTCATCCATTCAACAAGTACTGAATGTACTTTTTGCAAGCACTGTGAATGATATTCAAGATGCAAAGAGGGAGGTTACATTATTTATTACATGATGAATAAAGATAATAGCAATAATAAATCCAAACTAAATTCGCTATTATCCAGTCTGTTCAGACTCAAAGCAATCCTATAGGACATTAGGTTTCTCAGGCTGTAAATCTTTATGGAAGCAGATTGCCTAATCATTCTCCTGCAGAGTGACTGGAGGCTTTGAACCTCCAACCTATGGGTTATCATCCTAATGCTTAACACAGTGTACCACCAGGACTTACTTCTTTAATAATAACAATTATTGTTGTTGTTGTTGTTGTTAAGTGCCTTCGAGTCGGAGCCGACCCATAGCGACCCTGTACAGGGTTTCCGAGGGTGTAAATCCTTACGGGAGTAGAAAGCCTCATCTTTCTCCCGCAGAGCAGCTGGTAGTTTCGAACCACTGACCTTAAGGTTCACAGCCCGATTCGTAACCACTACGCTAATAGCAATAATAAATTAATTTGAGATAGCAATGAGAAATAGTATGAAATGATAGGATAATAAAATCAAAAGTGACTTCTCTGTCAGTATATTTTAGACTGAAGAGTTAGGAAAGGCCACTCCAAGGAGGTGATTTTCAGTAGTTATTTGAAGGATTAGGAAAAGCTCACCATTTTAAGATCAGAGAAAGAGCAATCTAGAGGAAGAAAACAGCAAAAGTTGAAGTGCAAAGTAAGAAAAAGTGTAGAGTATTTAAGGAACAGACACACACAGTTTAGCTAAAGTACAAATGAGTAGGAGAGGCAAAATGAGATGAGTAAGGCCAGAGAAATAGGCCTTGTAGAGCATAAAGAAAAAGAGACGTTGAGGCTGTAAGAATGGAAGATGACATACTCTGATATTCTTAAAAAGAAAATCACTCTTGATGCTCTGAAGAATTAGACTATAGGAGTACAAGAGTAGAGGTAAGGAGATTTGTTAGAAGATTTGTTTAGGAGGCCTGGTGTGACGCTGGGGGATAAGTACTAGACTGCTAACCACAAGGTGGGTAGTTCAAACCCACTAGTAACTCCTTGGAAACCCTATATAAGGCTGTATTTATCAACAACAACAACTAGCAAAGAGGCAAGTTGCCTGAAGTAGATCAGACCACAGATGTAATATGATTCAGATGTAGAGATGTAATAGATTTTCAAAGAGATTAGAGCTGAGGAATAAGAAAACAGAGAGAAATTAAACATAGATTTTTGATAGTGAGCTCATTTATTAAAATGAGGAAGTACAACAGGCTTTGGGAAGGGGTTTCAGGAGTACTATAAAACCCCCAAACCAAAGCTAATGCCACAGGGGTTGATTTCTTAGTCATAGTGATCCTCAGAGTTTTTGAGAGTAAATCTTTACAGAAGCAGGCAGCCTCATGTTTCTCCCATGGAGCATTTGAACCTTTATAGTTAGACTAGGATCGGGCAGTGTTTCATTCTGTTGTACATAGGGTCGCTATGAGTTGGTACTGGCTCAATGGCACCTAACAACAACATGTCCATCCTTCTGGATCAAGTTTCTTGAAGGTAGACTTTAAATATAATATCCACAGAACCTAGAAAAATGACAGACATAATGGCTGATGTGCTCTATAAATGGCTGCCACATACAAACTCAAAGTGCCAGGTATTGTGGAAGAGAGTGGCATAACATGGTTTATGTTCTTAATGATTATTTATAAACAAATGAACAATCCGCCAAAAATTATGTAATACACTCCACTCTTTTTACACGTCAAATAATTAAGGCCCAGAGAACTTGAATAAATTAACTATTAAAGTTCCTACATTAAGTAAGGAAGCCAGAATTTAATAATAAATATAACTATGAGTTGCTGTTCATAATATTATATCAGTGTTTCTGACAGAACTCTAGAATGTGAGTCAAAATATAGTAATCATTAGAAATGTTTCACTACTAAGCATTTGATGTGTTATAAAAAATAAAATATACTCTGTCTTTCTAAGACAGTATAAAATATAAAAAAGGAAAATGATTAATAATTTTATATCAATTACATATCAATTATGAGATGGTAATACTTTGGAGTACATTGAAGTACATAAAATTTTTTATTAAGACTAAATCTCCCTATATTTTTTTTCACTTATTTCTAAAGATGTTAGATGCTCTGGTGTGCACTGGACTGCAAGGTCGGTGGTTCAAACTCACCAGCTGCTCCTTGGAACACCTATACAAGATCTCTGAGTCTGAACCGACTCCATGGCACATAACAACAACAAGAAGAGATATTAACTCACAAATGGAACACATCCACACAAAAATAAATTAACAATAATAAAAGAAAGTATATGACACCTATCTTAAGGGGACTCTGCAATGTGAAGTTTGAGAGGAAAAATGCTAATGCCATTACCACTAATAATACAATATAGAGGCAGTCCTGGTCTAAGAAAGCTAATTTGGAGACAAACTAAATTTGAAGCAACACTTTTAAACCATAATGGAATATGAAAGCAATAAAAACATGATAATTATTAAGGAAAACAGAGAGATTTGAAAGTTTTCAACAAACAACAAGAGTTACAGAAGTGATGCACAAAATATTTAACAACCAATCTATTTAACAACCAAAATATTTAACAACCAAGACACTGACCAATCAGAACAGATGTCATCCAACAGCAATTTGTATATGTAGGTAAATGCACATTAGTTGCATTATCAGCCCTGGAAAGCTGATTGCTTGAAAGTTGAAAAGGTACTAAGTCAAATGTCAACTATGAAGTCACAAATTAGAGTAGTGCGAATCAACATGTATATGTAAATGGGAGTAATAAGACAGAAAGAGTTCTGGTAGCATAGTGGTTACAAATGAGGCTGCAAACCTTAAGGTCAGCAGTTCAAAACTGCCAGCTGTTTCACGGGAGAAAGATGGGGCTTTCTGCTCCTGTAAAAATGTACAGCCTTGGAAACCCTGTACAGGGTTGCTATGAGTCATAATTGACTCCACAGCACATAACCACCACCTCCACCACCAATAACAGGGAGCAAACAAAGGAGATTCCTTCAAGTAAAAAGATGAGCTTTGTTACCATGTTGTTGTCAAGCGCTGTTGAGTTAGCTCCAACTCATAGTGATGTTGTATAGGGATTCCAAGGAATGGCTAGTGAGTTTGAACTGCCCACCCTGAAGTTCAAACTAACCTTGTGATCCAGCACATTATCTTTCAGTGCCACACAATTTAAAAATTAAAAATTAAAAAAACAAAAACATAGCTGTCAATTTGGACTCATAGTAACCCAATGGAATACAGTAGAACTGCCCAAGAACTTCCAAGCATGGAAACCTTTACAGAAGCAGGGGTGGGTTGAACTACCAACCTTTCTATAAACAACCAAGGGCTTACCACAAAAAGGTCTCCATAAACATATAGGAAGGAAAATTTGCAAGGAGGAAGAGAAACTAACTGGATGTGAATGAGTATTAGAAAGGGAATAGAGATAATGGATATGGATAATGAAAGACTGAAAGTGATAAAGAGTTAAGAGAGAGGAGAGACATAATCAGAATTTGATATTTACCTCACCTTTTGAAATGTAGTGGGTAAGTACATGACCTTAGGAGCTAGAAAAACATAATATAATCCTGACCTTGCCATTTATCAGCTTTACAAACATGGCAAATAAAGTAACTTTTCTAAAATTTATTTATCCATGAAGTAGAAATGTAATATTTACCTCAAAGAGTTGTTATCACAATTAAATGAAATGATGCAAATAAAGTTGCTATCTCAGTACATGGACACAGCAAAAGATTAATATATTTGGTTTCTAAAATATTGCTTGTTGTTGTTAAGTACTGTCCAGTGAGTTCAGATTCATAGGTTTTCCAGGTTGTAAATCTTTGTAGAAACAAAAAGGCACATCATTTTCCCAGAAAACACCTGGTGAGCTTCAACTGCCAACTTAGTGTTTACCCTACAGAGCCACAGCACTCCCAGAATGCTATTATTGTTGTATTTTATTTGAATGCTGGTACTGAAAACTCATGTTTTCTTCCCACCCTCACCCTATTATGCCTTGAATATTCTGTCCATTCTACTTTTGAACTTATAACATTTTCCACTTCTCAGAAGCATTTTCACAATGCGTGTTCCTCTCCAGAGGAACACAGATGAAGATGAGAAGAACTGGTAATATTTTCCACTCTTCTTTCCTTCCTCCCTTTCTTACTCTCCTTAAGACTTCTAGAAGACTACATGCTGCTTCTATTTTTTAAAAAAATCAGTGTTTTTCTCTACGCATCATAAAATGTGGAATAACTTGCAGACATAATTTGAGAAATTTTATTAAGTAAAGAATTACAACATAGGTGGAGATACATAAACATGGAATAATGCCAGGCATTGTCGTCCATTTTCTCATTTAACATTAGCTCTTAGCTCAAATAACCATTCTAAAAAGACATAAGCCCCATTGTTGTTGTTGTTGTTGTTGAGTGCCATGAGTTGTAACA